CCCGGCCCCGGATAAAGCGGATGAAGATGGATGGATGGATGGATGGATGGATGGATGGCTTGGATTCTGAGCAATTCATGGAGTACTCTTTGTATTTTTTCTCTGCCATCGCCAAAGACTGCTTAATAATCCTTTATGTTTTTCTACCACTTAAAATCATGACCATGTAATGCGTATTTGATAACAAATCCATACTGGAGCTGTCAGTGGGTTTTTGGTTCAGTCTGAGGGCCGTCCAGTCAGTGTGCAAATGGCCAAACTACAGTAAAACACGACCATGTTCAATGATGTTTTCAGTACTACAGGAGGCTCAGTTCAAAGGTCAAAAAGTAAACCTGAACAGTTAAGTCTTGAGCCTCATTCAGTGGTAATGCCAATATTCAAATGGCAAGCTACACGGTGTGGATTTCTACATATACAAATTGCTCTCTACCGCTACAGGAATGTAGACTGTGTGAACACTTTTGTGAAAGATAAAAAGGTCCAAATTTTAATAGGGTGTAGAAAATCTGTGTCACTGCACTTCTTTTCTTTAAACTAATTTTGTTCGTTGTGGTGTGAACAGGCATTTGTCCATCACATGGTTAGAAATGGTAAGGTTTTCTATAAAATAACGAAACGAGCACTAATTTCAGAAACAGGAATAATAGCACTTGCTGCTCGTCCTTCATATTCCCTGCTGGCTGTGTGGTTTGACTCTTACACTTGGCACAACGTCCACTGTCGTGCTCAGGTGTCCGGCTTCGCTGACTGACCTTCGTCCCACTTTCCTTCAGCCGAGCGGCCTCCTCTTTGGCACACACCCCGAGCTCCTGGGTGTAGCGCCCATACATCTGCGAAAAAACACCGGCATCCATTTAGCTTTCAAAAAACAAACACATTACACATGTCTCAAAAATGGGTGGTGTGATGTAAATCAGAATTGTATCTTTCTTCTGACTTCTTGTCTGAATTCATTTCCATCTGCAAAAATCCATATTTGGCCCCCCGTGCATAGAGGCAGTGGCGGTTTTTGATATGGGTGACATAAGCCGTTGCCCGGGGCGGTATCGTGGTGGGGCGGCATCATGGGCATCAGCAAAGTTGCTCGCACCCATGTTGCCCTGACATCATGCCAAAGCATTTTGAGGACTGCATAGGCACCGAACCGTTTTCTTTTGTGGAGAGTAAAGGCGCCCTCTGTTTGCGAGGTGCTGCTTGCCACACAGGAAGGAGCGAGCGGGCGGCATTCTCTGGCTGGAGCGGCATCTAATAACCAGCTCACAAAACTAAACTAAAATAAACCAACAAACTCGGGCTGTCAACGTTAATGCCGTCATCGTGATTAACGCGATTACAATTTTTAACACAATTAAACCATTTGGAGCGCAGAATGACTCAAACTCCCTGAAATGTCTCTGTTTGTCCAAAGTCTGTCGCTTCTGTGCTCCCGATGGGTTGATTGCGTTAAAAATTGTAATCACATTAATCGCGATGACGGCGTTAACGTGTTAACATTGACAGCCCTACAACAAACACAAAAACTGAAGACATTATGATACAGACTTATAATTTGCAATGTGTTTTCTAAATTCTATCACATATAACTGAAAAGTGAGCTCGAGGGCCCTCGCTGCGCCGCTGCTGAAGACTCACACACAACCTGTCAACAGGGGAGGGGCGGGCTGCTTCCAAATAGACCACATTTCATTCATAATGCTGTAAATCCAAGCCCGTTATGTATCAATTATTTTTCCTGGGTTGTGTGAAATCCCAGAAAAAAAGAAACCCTATACAAGGTGTGGGCCTATTAGTCTATTAGTGTATGTTGTGGGGTTGGGTGTTGATACTGGAGTGCAGAATTACTGATGAAAGATGGACAAGAAAAGGTCAAAGCCATCAGGTCCTGAGTTCAGAAAAAAGAGAAAAGAAGAGGAGAAAAAGATGCAGGTCTTTGAGTCTTTGAGAGGGAGTGTTCAACCAGGGCAGCAAACAGGCTGGGACCGCGCCTGCGTAGGGGGAGGAGGTCTCCTTTGCATGGAGGTGTAGGTGGTCCCAAAACGTTCCACATATTGAATATTGAATTAAAGCTGGGTTGCAAAATGACATACACATATGCAGCATATAAGGGCATCCTGAAGCAGCTTACACGTGTCCTTATATGAGACTTTCCAATTAATGCATAGAAGCTGTGCTGAGCTATCAGATGTAAGTCAGTTGGTGTAATGTATTTACTGGTGTCAGTGAACAAGGAGCTATAGTTGATTGTGGTGGTGTAACACTTCACTAGCCTAAAGAAAAACAATAACTGTGTAACTATTTGAAAATGTAATGTAGTGAAAGTGGTACAGCAGCTGCAGGAGTCAGAGTCTGCTCCAGGCATTATTTGTGTAATATTCCCCCACATGCTTTCTCTGCTAAAAATAATCCAACCTCTAAGAACCCCAAAGAACCATACATTTCATAACCATCCAGCAGGCTCATAATAAATATTTTCCTATGAAATATTTTGTGGTAGTTGAATTACAGAGCACGTTTTTCCTTGAACTCGTTACAGTCTGGCTCCTAGAAAGCAGAAAAACAAAAACATGAAGGATCGATCACGACCTTTGCACAGTACTTTATATTGCTGATCACTCATTGTCCTGACAATACAATCTGACTTATGTTCTTATGTCTATAATGCTCAAACCAGCGTTGCCTG